CCCACCTTGGCCTCCCAAAGTGCTGAGATTGCAGGTGTGAGCCACCACGCTTGGCCCAATATGTGTTTTAATAAGTCAACCAGGTATTTCTGGTCTGAAGTTTGAGAAGCATTTAATTGATAAAATGGTTTGGTGGTTTGGAAACAAATTTCAAGATATTTCAAGGTGACCTTTAGCCCAATCTCTGTTTTAGTGATGGAGACTAGTTAATGAGTAACCTAACCTGCTTAATTATTTACAAGAAAATTTTGTTTGGTGGCACCTCAGTTTTGTTTTGCTGATGGAAACATTGTGAAAGACTGAATTACTTTGCTCAATTTTTAGTATTTGCTTAGACATTTAACATGACTAAGTGGAAACATTTTGAGATTTATGGAACATCTTCCTAAAATTGCTAATTAGTTTATAGAGTTTTAAAATTTAGCAGTTAAGCTAAATCTCCTCATAGCAGCCCTTTATATCTTATATTATTAATAATTTAGCAGTACAGTTTACATTCTTCACAGAGCCAGATCTTATCCTTAGAGGCATGGTATTAACTTGTTAACTTGTTTGGCAGGCAGACTTGATTTTGCTGGACTTCAGTGGTGACGTGGAGAATCAACTTTTTCTTTTTTTTGGAGACAGAGTCTAGCTCCATTTCCCAGACTGGAGTGCAGTGGCACGATCTCAGCTCAGTGCAACCTCCGCCTCCCAGGTTCAAGAGATTCTCCTGCCTCAGCCTCCCGAGTAACTGGGATTACAGGTGCCCGCCACCACGGCTAATTTTTGTATTTTTAGTAGAGACAGGGTTTCGCCATGTTGGGCAGGTTGGTCTCGAACTTCTGACCTCAAGTGATCTGCCGACCTTGGCCTCCCAAAGTGTTGGGATTACAGGCGTGAGCCACTGCGCCTAGCCCAGCTGAGAGAAACAACTTTGAAACTGACTTAAAATGTATACAATTTTCTGAGTCATCTTTGACCCCTCTTTACTTTTGTCTAACATCTAATCAGTCACCAATTCGCCATCAGTACTACCTCCTAAATATGTCTTAATCTAACTACTCTGTCTCTTACTATGGTCACCTTCTGGTCTGAGTCACCATCAACTTTTCTCTGGACTTCCAACTGATTTATCATAATTCATTCTCACAGTGTGAATAAAGTAATCTTTAAATATATACATCTGTTCCTATTCCTTCCACTTAAAGGTCATCGGTGGCATCTCATGACAACCACAGTCTACTATGGCTTGTGAGACTTTACATGACCTAGCTTCGCCAGCTTCTGCAGCCCAAAGATCTAATAGTTCCTCAAATGTGCTGTGTTTTTTTCTACCAAAAGGCCTTTGCATGTGCTGTTCCCTTATGATCCTGCTGACCCTTTATTGTTCTTTTCATGTTAAAGATCAGTTGTTTTTAGAAGAATCCTTCCTGATACACACTCTCTGCCCTGCCCTCCTCATACCTGCATATGCTCTCATAGCTTTCTCTACACTGGGTCATTATCATATTTATTTCTATATTTGTGTATTTTCTGCCTTCCCTGTACATTTTGTTCCATGAAGGCAGGAGCCATTTCTGCTAATCCTACTGCACAGCAAAATATCTGACATATAGTGTCCAAAGTATATGAAGGAGTGAATGAATGAACTAATGAACAAAAAGTGATGACTTTCCATCTGTTGAAATATAGTGTAAGGTCTATTAATTTCTCAGATTTTCATGAATAAGCTGTATCTTATTTTTGTGTATGTAGATTATGCTTGTGCTCTTCAGAGGGACATTTTGCTTCAGGGACGACTATACCTTTCAGAAAACTGGCTATGTTTCTATAGCAACATCTTCAGATGGGAAACTACAGTAAGACATTTTGCATTTGATTTGTTGATACAAATAATTGCATAGAGATAGATACAGTTCTTTTAAAAACTGTACTTTAGATGATTCCAAAGTAAATTTATATATAATTGTGCATCTAAACTAGTGTGCCTGTAAATACAAACATGTGTTGTATATATGTGTATAATATATTTTTCTGATTTAACACATTGAGTTCCAGTATAGTTAAAGATATTTTAATTGAAAAAAGCTTGAACATATATCTTAATGGCTGCCAAAACCATGTCTTAAGTGACAGATTGTCTGATTTTTGTTTGTGTGTTAATGTGGAACATGAACACCCACATGTCTTTTCACACTTTGTACTAATGTTAGATAGAGGAGTTGTTGGGGGAGAATACTGCAGGGCAAACTGCTTACCCTGTTTTTCTCAGAGAATACAAGCATGTACTTATTAACTCCTTCAGGTCGAAAAACCTGAGGAACATTCAACTGCAAAGTTGAATATTCTGGATTAGATTGATGGGATACTTGGCATTTTGTATTGTGTATGTTTCTGAAAAATACATTAAAAAATTCTTTTGTGTGTTTAGATTTCTATTGCTTTAAAGAATATAACCTTCATGACCAAGGAGAAAACTGCTCGACTCATCCCAAATGCTATCCAGATAGTTACAGAAAGTGAAAAGGTGAAAAACTTTTCTATCTTTGTTATATTACATAATGTGAAGAAAATCTGCCTCATACTCACCATCAACATTGGGAAATTAGACATTTCTTCCTGGAGTTAGGAATATCTGATACACATATGTTTAATACTAGAATTCTGTATGCAGTTATATTAGTCGTTAACTTTAAATGACTGCTAACATTTTTTGTACTTTATAGTTTACAGATAACTTTCACCCATATTTTTCATTTCTAGGTAGGTAACATTAGCACAATGTCCTTATTTCTAAATACTCTAATAATTCCATGAGTATTTTTCAGTCAGTAATCACTGCACAATAGCAACTAATAAAAAATGCTCCTGGTGAACAGAGATTTGGAGAGCATACACATGAGCACTAACCACTGTATTCTTTTTTTAAAACAGGCAATTATCTTTAACTGACATAATTTTTATTATTCACCTACAATATCTGCCATTTCTTAGTGGGGATATATCAAGAATATTTCTTAACCACCTGGAAAATTGGTTAGGGCCCTGCGTGAGAGATATTAAAAGTGTAGTGATGAGAAAGAAAAAGAAAGAAGAAAGAAGGAGATGAAGGAAGGAAAGAAAAAAAAAGGAAAGAGAAAAAAAGAGGAGGGGTAGGGAGGGAGAAAAAGAGACAGGGAGAGTTTTGGGGGAGGAGGGGAGAGAGTATTAGTACCGTGATATTAAATCTTTGTAATTGTACTTTTTAATCTTGTGGATATTCTTTTAAATTCACTTTAAATTTTATCTTATTCTTTTTTTAGAGACAGGGTCTTGCTATGTTGCACAGGCTAGCCTCAAGCATTTGGGCTCATGCGATCCTCCAACTTTAGCTTCCCAAGTCGCTGGGACTTCTGGTGTGCACCACTGAGTCTGGCTATTTTTATTTGTAAACAGTCTTATCCCTACGGAACACTTCCAAATGCAGTACAAAGAGCTTTTGCTCCTGCACTAATTGAGAATAAATTCTTACCCTGATCCTCCATCACCTTAGATACTCTGGCATGTACTTCCAACAAAGACATTCTTCTATATAACCACAATGTAATTCAACATCAAAAAATTAACACTGATCTGTTACCACCATTCAATTCTTAGACCCCATTCAATTTCCATGACTATCCCAATAATATCCTTTATAGCAAACAGGCTCAGTTCAGAATTACACATTACATTTAATTATCATGCTCCTTAATTTCCTAGAAGAGTTCCTTAGTCTTTTCTTGACTTTTATGTCTTTGATACTTTTAAAGATTACAGGTCAGTTATTTTGTAGGATATCCCTCAATTTGTGTTTGTCTGATGTTCCCTTGTGATTAAATTTAGGTTATGTAATTTTGGAAGAAATACATGGAAATGACGCTCTGCTCTCACCACTACATCCTATCAGATGGCACATGATTTTAACTTCTACCATTACTGGTGATATCTACTTTGAACATTCGATTAAGGTGGTGTCTGCAGACTTTAGTATAATCTATTTTCCTTTGTAGTAATAAGTATTTTGGGGAAAGGCTTTTTTTTTTTTTTTTTTTTAAGAGATGGAGTTTCATTTTTATTGCCCAGGCTGGAGTGCAATGGTGCGATCTTGGCTCACTGCAACCTCTACCTCCTGGGTTCAAGCGATTCTCCTGCCTCAGCCTCCCAAGTAGCAGGGATTACAGGCATGCACCACCATGCCCA